ATATACCTATAGCTACTTTAATTTTTTAATGCTTTACTGTAGCTAAATATGATGTTTACACAACCATTACAGTATTAGAATATTTTAAATTTTACCATATGTTTACCTTTCTCAATGAGTTTTTTACTTTCACAGGCTTTTATGTTATTAATTAGCAGACTTTTGTTTCAGCCTAAAGAACTTCCTTTAACATTTCTCATAAGGCAGCAGTCATGAATTCCCTCAGCTTAAATTTTCTGGGAAAGTCTTTGTTTCTCATCTCCTCTCAGAAGCACAGCTTTTCTCGATAAAGTATTCTTGGTTTCCAGGCTTTTTTTTTTCTTTTCTTTTAGCATATTAAATATATCATCCCACTCTCTCCTGATCTAAAAGGATTCCCCTGAGAAAATCACTTATTGAAGTTCCCTTGTACGTCATATGCTGCTGCTGCTGCTGCTGCTGCTGCTGCTTTTTTCTTCATCTTTTTCTCCTCCTCCTTTTTTTTTTATTTGATTATTGCTCTCAAAATTATTTCTTTGCCTTTTATTTTTGACAGTTTAATTATAATGTGTCTTGGTGAACTCTTCTTTGGGTTAAATCTGATTGGAGATTTCTCAGCTGGGTAGTCATATCTTTCCCCAAGTTGTAAGGTCTTCAGCCATTATTTTTTAAATAAGGTTTCTGTTCCTTTGTCTCTCTCTTCTGCTGCTGAATTTCCCATTATGTGAATGCTCGTTCCCTCCATAGTATCCCATAGATTTTTGCAGGTTTCTTCGTTCTTGTCTTTCCTTTTTTCTTTTTCTCTACTGATTGAATAATTTCAAATAATCTGCCTTTAAGTTTGCATATGCTTTCTATTTATTTTTCTTTCTAATGTTTAGTCTGGTCTGCTTTTGAAGCTCTCTATTACATTCTTTACTTGAATCATCGGATACTTCAGCTCCATATTTTCACTTAGTTCTTATTTATTATTTCAGTCCCTTTGCTGAGTTTGTTTGTTCTTGTATTGTTTTCATTATATTGTTATTTTTTTTAAATCTATTTTTTCTTATCATTCACTGGGTGATTTTAGAACAATTATTTTGAATTCTTTTCTGGGCAATTTGTGGTTCTCCAATTCTTTAGGTCAGTGGCCAGAAGTTTAGTGTTTCTTTGATGTGTCACGTTTCCTGACTAGTATATTTGCCTAGTCAAGATCTCTCTTCACTGTGCTGATGTTTCTTGTGATGTTGCCCATGGGATGAAGGACTACCAGAGCTCTTCAACCTTCAGTTATCTCAAATATATATATATATATTTTTGTGACCGGCAAGGGGACCGCAACCCTTGGCTTGGTGTCGCCTACACCGTGCTCAGCCAGTGAGCACACCGGCCATCCCTATATAGGATCTGAACCCGCTATACAGGATCCAAACCCGTGGCCTCGGTGCTCCCAGCGCCACTGCGCTCCCAGCACCGCACTCTCCCGAGTGAGCCACAGGGTCGGCCCTATCCCAAATATTTTAACACATTTCTTCCTTACAATTTACAGTACATCTCAGGAGTTTGTCTATAATCTCTCATTACAAACTTTTCATGAGTCAGCCATCAAGAACATCAGGAACTGTTCTAAGATTTAGATAAGAAACTTTCTTTGAGCCATAATAGACATTTTCCTTTTTTATTCTGTAGCTGCCAATTTTAAAAATTATTTTATAACCATTACCATTAACATGGGTGACTTTGAGGCTGTTTCAGAAACTTTGGGTTAATTTAGTTTAGGTATGACAGGTGAGCAGATTGGTTCTCTTTTGATTCACCTTATTTACATGCATTTTATTGATGCATTTATTTAATTATTGAGCCACCACTGACAGCAAAACCATCATTGGCACAAATTGAAAAAA